GCGGGGCGCGGCCGGGGCCGAGGCGGAGCGCGGGCCGCGGGCGCGGGGCCGGGACGGCACCGGCACGGGGGGGGAGCCGCGCTGCCCCTGCGAGTGTGTTGAAAGCTACAGCTGCTGCCTTCGCACTTGCCCGGCAGCAGAATTAGCGCAGCCGCCTGTCTCCCTCGCCCACGCACAGAGTCATGTTCAACTGGGGAAAGGGTGCGCGGAGCGGGGGGGAGGAGGGGTGCCCGCAGAGCGGGAGGGGGGGAAAGGGACTTCCCGGGACTTCTGGCCGTCCCAGAAAACACTTTGGAAATGGATCCACATGCAAACAGCTGGAGGAGCTAAAAGCAGAGCGCGCCGGCCGCAACCTGCTTTTAGCAACCGCGCGGGCTCCGCGCGACCCTCCTTCCCCCCCAAAGTCCCGCTCGCGGAGCGGAGCGGAGCGCGCACGGGGCCGGGCGCCCCCTCCGCCGCCTCCCGTCCCGTCCCGGTGCTTCCCGTCCCCTCCCGTCCCTGCGCTGCCCGCCCGGCGCAGCGGCCTTTCGGGYGCCGCGTTTCGGCGGGATGTGCCCAAAGACGCCGTAACTTCTGGCTTCAAAGCCCCGTGGCTCGTAAACAAGGGCTAGGAAAAGCAGCCTGGCATGTTGGGGCGGATCGAGATCAAAGGACGGGGAATGCTGCGCTGTTTGTTTGTTTTGTTTACTGGGGGGGCTTTGAAGGAAGCCCTTGAAATCCACTCGGGATTTCGGCTCCCGTGCTGTTTGCCTGCCGCTCTCCCCTTCGGGCTGCTCAAGGGACGCGCCGTGAGTGCGCTCGTGGCAGGGCAAGGGGGAATGAACGCAGCATTTGCCCACTGGAGAGAGCGTGGTGGATGTTTGGCTGATGACTGTACCCGTAATGGATCAGGCTGCAGCCACCCACGGATTCCCTAGCACCAGGACACYAAGGGAATGATTTCCCGGTAATTAAAGAGCTCTCCTAGGACTGAGACATGAATAGGGACATGTTTGGCACGTTATTAACCAATTACACGCTGCGTAGATTTTTTAAAAGTGTTAGTGTTGTCCCAGAAACACTTTATACAAAGGAAGCACTAATGTAGTCAACCTGTCTTCTCTTTATTTTGTGTTATTTGTAACTTTACACTTCGGTGTCGTGTTCATAACTTTCTTCCAAGCATGAAAAGTCCTAGAAGTATAAAATCCCATACACACATGCATATATATTTATATATATATCTGTGTGTGTATATATATAAACATAGTTTGAAGTATTAGCATTCAAATAGCCAGCTGAGGATGTGGCTTTTGGAGTTAGCATTTCAAAGAGCAGTGCGTGAAACAGGCAGTGATCTTGTTAGAGCAGTGAATTCCAGAGTGCAAGATCTGCAGATTAGTCRCACAGCCTATCATTTCTATATGTAGTGTTCTCTTGTAGACATAAAAGACRAGAAGTGTCATATCCTAAAACATTAGCTCCCTCCTAGTATTTGTCCTGCATTAACAACTTGTGCTGTCGTTTTATCTTCTGGATGTTTTTGATCAGCCTGCCAATTAAAAAGACAGTTTTTCATTAGTGTGAATTGCTTAAAATTTCTTCTCTCGGTGACTAGCAGTTGGCTAAACAATATTGTTTGTTATATTCAGAGCCTCACGCGTGACTTCTGTGCCCTCTTTTTTTGCTAAGTGATAGCAAATCATGTGGATTATCTCTTTTGTTTCTTATAGACAAGATGTGAAATGGAGAAATATCTGTCACCTCAGCTCCCGCCCGTTCCTGTCATCCCTGAACATAAAAAATACAGAMGAGACAGTGCCTCAGTTGTAGACCAGTTTTTCACTGACAGTGAAGGGTTGCCTTACAGTATCAACATGAATGTCTTCCTCCCTGACATTAGTCACCTGAGAACTGGCCTGTACAAATCGCAGCGACCGTGTGTGACCCACATCAAGACAGAACCAGTCACGATCTTCAGCCACCAGAGTGAAACTACTGCCCCTACTCCTGCCCCTACTCAGGCCCTCCCTGAGTTTACCAGCATCTTCAGCTCTCACCAAACTCCTGACGTGAACAACATTTTTATCAAGCAGGAGCTTCCTACTCCAGACGTTCACCTTTCTGTGGCGCCCCAGCAGGGCCAGTTATATCAGCTCCTGAGCTCCCCGGATCTCGACATGCCCAACACGACTCCCCAGGCTGCCGTAATGGACTCCCTCAACAGTGTCTCCATGCCCTCTGCTATGGCAGGCCTTAACACGCTCTCCCCRGCGCTTCCACAGACTGCAATGAAACAGTTCCAGGGCATCCCCCCGTGCACCTACACGATGCCAAACCAGTTTCTTCAACAGCAGGCCACCTACTTCCCCCCTTCACCCCCAAGCTCAGAGCCTGGAAGTCCAGATAGACAAGCAGAGATGCTGCAGAATTTAACCCCTCCGCCATCGTATGCCGCAACCATAGCTTCCAAGCTGGCAATTCACAATCCAAACATACCAGCCACGCTGCCAATAACTACCCCAAATATACAACCRGTCAGGTACAACAGAAGAAGTAACCCGGACTTGGAGAAAAGACGTATCCACTACTGTGACTATCCCGGTAAGCAGGTGTTTCGGGAAAGCATGCAGGCCTGGCCCTTGGGATGAAAAAGTGTGAATAAGCATAGACTAGATATAAATTGTTCTATTTAGCTGTAGTCTTTCTGGAGATAACAGTTCCTTTCTTATTAAAATAAGATTTCTTCTTTCAGTGTCTCATTTTTGAGGTGTTTTTTCAGATTCTTTGCTTATATTGTACTTGATATTGTACATCAAGTTATTCTCCCCTGTTATTTCTTACTTTGTTAAACTGCTAAGCTGTTAAAAAAACTTAGACTGTATAGGAGAAAAAAAAATGCAACCTTCTCTAATTTCAATCCGTGTCTGTCCACCTTATCCCCTCACTTTTTGAGGTCCAGTGRGGGACCAGCAGTTCAGTTTTTGCAAAGTGATTCAGCTTAGTTTGGGTTCGTCGACGCTAAAAGAATCATTTCAGTTCCTGGCAGATGAGGTCATGGCCGTATCTACCCTGTTATGAATAGGGAATTCAGCTACCTAGATAAATCCATTAAAGCTGCCTTTGAAAATTGTCTACGGATAAATTCCCTTAAAGCCTATCTCTTTCTTATACTGAACTGGAAGAGAAATCTGATTCTATCCACTGTTCCTTCAAGTAATATGGGATCCCAGATAAAAGCTGTTAACACCGTTCTGAAACATCTAGAAAGTGCTGCAATTAGCTGATGTCTCCCTTAATAAATATGATTCATGGGTGATATATTATCCAAATGCCTAATGCAAAAGTTATGTACAGTCATGAATAACTACGGTGATGACTTGTGCATTTTTTTTTTTAGGAAATTTTGAAAAATAAAAGTCTTGAGTGGACAATTTATGTAACAGGTGTTACTGTGTGTGGATTGTAGTAGCTGTTGGTTTATGCTATATTACTGGGTAATTTCTACCTTTATTTTTTTTTCTTTTTCACCCTATGTAAAGCAACACATTTTCCCTAAGTAAGCARCATCTCCCTAAGAGCTTTGTATATTAAATTATACTTTTAAATTATTATGCTGCCAGAAGGTTGCAAACTTAAATATTTCCAGGTAGTACCTCAGCACTGAACGAGGAAGTTTAATCCGGAGTGTTCCTGTTCTCTCGATACTGATGTGTTTGCCCTCCTTTCTATTTTCTTTTGTTTTAGGCTGCACAAAAGTTTATACAAAGTCTTCCCACTTAAAAGCGCACCTGAGAACTCACACTGGTATGTACCCACTCTCAGTGCCCCTTGCTCCGAAATGGCTTTTCTAGCTTCTGGAAAAGCGAGTGTGTTTGGTCTGCCGGCTTCTCCTTGTCGCTTCCTGAGTGGCGTGGGCTCAGGCTGGTGGCTTGGTTAAAGCTTTCTGGGTTAGTCCCTAAAAAGTAAAATCACTTTCTTGTTAAGGCGCTTTTGTTAAGACTTCTGCAATACAAAATTGAAAACAATTAAGAACAAAATCGGTGAAATTTTCAATCTTAAAATGCTGTGCAGTATTTAAAAAAAAAAAAAAAACAAGCTCCCTACAAATCTTGAAATAAACATAGTAAACTTGTTACTAATTTCAAAGTCTAGCAAAATGAGTAGAATTTTCTGTTTGGGGCTTTCATTTTGACCAGCTAGAATTACCTAATCTTAGAATTTTTCTCCAGTTACTTTGTCCTTAGCATGAACTGTTTATTTTWTTTTTTTACCGTAAGCCAGTAAGCTGTTTTATATTTAAAAAAAAAAATTGTTGGTAAAAGATAGTAAAATGGAGGAAATGAAAATACACATTTAGAGTGTAACATTTGTTTTTGTGCCTTGACACGGACCCGGTTCACRGGCCTGCAATGGACTAAACTCAGGACAGAGCTTTGCTTATGTGTGCATACAGTGCCCATATACTCGAGGGCAGCCATAAGGAGGGAAACCAGTCTGTTCAAAACTAGATCTGTTGAAAAGAGAAGGAGATCTGGGAGAAATCCGTAACCCCCCAAATCTGTAACACCACACTTTGAAATTGCTAGGATGGTTCTTTGCTGGGATCTTAGCACAAAATCCGTTCTGCTAAATCTTTACAGTAAAAAGCACACAACATTTTTCTTGAAAAGTAATCAAACGAGACGCTACTATTCTTGTTTTGAAAATTGAGTTTGAAGTCGAACTCCTTTTATGTGTGAGCCTCAGGTCTAGGCAGTGCAGGAGTCGCATTTCAAGCAATTCACTTATTGAAATAGACTGTCAGCACTGCGCCGGTGCCGATCAAGTAGTGGAGTTTCACCTAAGTTTAAACCAGAAGTCAAAACAAATCTTAGCATGAGTTGTGATCTGACAAAAAGAGTTTCAGTGTTTCTGTGGAAACTTGTGAATGGATTCTTGGATTATCGAAAAGAAATTTGCCAGCTAAATTGTTRCTGTGGAATTTTTGTTTTGATAAATGAAATTTACCTCTCTTGCTGCTACAGTAAAAAAAAATAAAGCACCTGTACGAAGATTATTACTTTACATTAGCAGTAGACTGAACAAAAATGCTGCTATAAATATTTTGTGATAAATTTAATCACTCATTATCAACTAACTTATTAGGAATGGAATATTTTCATGAGGCTATAAACCTGAATGACATCAGAGAATGTAACACTCTTTAATAAATAATCTGTAAAGTGAAGTGAGTGCAATTTCCACTTACGTGTTTTAGCCAGCAATTAAATATCAGTTTAAAATACTTTGCTTACTATTACACAATGAGGGTAGGAAGAGAGATTAAAAAAAAGCTTTACTCTAAAAATGAACATTACTTAGTCGCTGTTTGAAATCCCCGCTGTTACTTTTTTTTTTTTTTTTTTTATCAGTTTATACCTCTGTTCTATCTTGAATAGAAATGCCTGTGAAGTTTATAAAGTTACCACTTCCATGCATGGAAATATGTATCTCATCACGAATGTAGATTGCTTAGGGTCGATAGTGTTTACTGTTGACTTCACTTTTTTACCTATAGATACTTGACCTTAGAAATGTGGCTAAATGTGCAGAGGTCAGAGAAGCTGATGTATTCATGGAAACAAGAATGTTGTTCTAGATAAAAATCTAGTGAACTTAAGCAAGTCTCTAATACAAAGGGTCTTCTAGGGAGGTGAATGAAGGGATAAACTGTCTAAAGGTTTAACATGCAAGAATGTGAGTCCATATACTGTTACCTGCATTATTTCGGAGTTCAGACTAATTAAACTCTGCTATATATTCATTTAATACTTAGAGATTCCCAGTGCCCATTAAAATCTCCGTCTTCACATACAGCTGAAATKTGTCTTAGTACAAGTAAGATTGCTCACATTCCCACTACCACGYAGATCAATTCACTGAGTGTTAATGTGAACGGACACAATCCCAGGGAAACCTGTGAAATTACTTTGGGACGCCTAGTTTCTTCAGGAGTGAACAGGAATTTACTATTGATCTGAAAAGAGAAGGACTTGATACTGAGGGCTGAATCTGTGTTCTTTTGTCTGTATAAAGTCTGCTTTTTGTGCACCCTATTCCCCAGAACTATGAATTCATACAGGGCTATTGAGCTTTGATTCCTTTAAAAAAAAAAAAAAAATCTTATGAAACCTGCACCTTCAAAGTCTGAAGTGTCACGTAATCCATTTTAATAAAGCTGTGTGTGATATTCTTTCAAATCCCTTCAGGGATTGCAGACCTGTTTATCTGGCTAAACCCGTTCTTTAGTAATCATGGACCACTGAAGTTGTTTTCTCCTTATTCTTAGTTTCTTAACAATACCTTTTAAAATTGGCTCTAGTCTCTCTCTCATCCCARCCAGTCCCTGCCCTTCTCAGCAATCTGTCATTTTAAAATAAAAGAGCCCGCAGCAAAGTTTGTCTGCCATTAAAAGTCAAGGCAGCCCTTATGGTTTTCCTTTTGTATTGGAAAATCTCAGCCTTTATACAGTATTTATTTAGCAGTCTTTCTCTACTGAATGGCTTTGATTGAGTTTAATAGATGTTCTTTGAGAACAAACTTAAGGGAAATGTTATTTTTAAAAGATGGAATGTAGGCTATAGTCTTTTTCCAAATTCAAATATGAATACCTTGGCAGACTTTATAAGTTACATTTAAATAAAAGAGTAAGAAAAAGACAAGCGGCAAATGCCTTGCATTTGTCTTCYTAGTTGTCTTTGAGGTGTTTACCTTGTATCAGATCAGACATTTTGAGCCGGTTTTGTCCTGATGGAATTATGCCTGCCTCCCATATTCATGGTTTTGCTCTTGATTTGGAATTCAGTACTCAGTAAACAAAACACTAAGTCAGGTTGCTGTATCTGTGCTAGTCCCTGAAGGAGGCATCTGTTTTTCTTCCTCAGGTAATTGCTTTTTTTAGTGTTTTAGTTTTTAACTTAGGAAGGAAATTTGAATTGTTAATAAACTAGCAATATCTAAAAATTTAACACAAACTACCAACCTACTGCTGCAAAGGTAGATGACATTTTATATCCATGTCTATCAGCTCTGGATCAGCTCTGACTTAGTGTACCCAGTACATTTGGTAATATCTTCTGAAACACTTAAGTATGGTATCTTCACTTGGGACAAGTTTTTCCTGAAACAGGTAAAATAATATTCAATATTCTGAAGTGTCGCTTAGAACATCTTTCAAAATAGATTGAAGGGATTTTTTTTTACCTGTTGTTTCAGGGATTTAAAAAAAAATATTTCTAATCTCTTGGTCACAGAACAAGTTTTCATAACTTGCATTGTGCAGCTGGCCTATATAGTATGTAGAGTTTTTATGCATCCGTTACAGGCTACTTGACAGTGACTTTTCCTTAAAGCAGAAGAATAACAAACAACTTGGTGTACAACTTGATAAACATGTCAAATGTCAGGGAAATACAGTTAATTGTGCGAAATAGACACCTTTAGCTTCCTTGTGTGAAATCTGAACATACACGTATAGGTCAGGTAATCCTCTAGAGACAGCAGGCCTGTGTCTTCTCCTGCTGTACTTCATACGTAGAAGTTTGGGACTGCTAAAGTGGAGTCTTTATATGTAAGCACCTGGAATAGCCTACCTGGAAACTGCAGGAGTGTGATTGGCTCCAGGGTGAGGTTTTTTTTTTTCCTGTGAACAGCTGCACATTTCAGAATTGTGTTTGGTTTTAAGAAGAAAACCTATCATTATGTAGAACACATCAGGACACACGCGCTGAGAACATTTTCCAGCTGCATATTGGTTTTCCGTGTGCAGAGCCTTTGTACAGGCATGTTCTCTGATCACGTGGTCGGTTTGCCATTAATAGTTTCTAACATTAACTGCACAACTATTTCATCTCTATCTATAGATCTAGTTAGTATTTGGTGATGGGAAGTGGAAGCCGAGATAACTCTAGAGAAATGGCATTTGTCTAAATGAGATGCACTCAAAATACTTCCACCATCCCTAATTATTTCATATGTTCATGAAGACAGCATGAGGCAGCTGCTAACCCATGCAGCTCCTCAAGGTGTTAACATTTTATTTTAATTTAGATCTCTGTCTCAATAAATCCAGAATTAGACTATGATGGTCAATCAAAATTAGAACCAGTCGTATGCAATAGACTTTAGCACACGCACATGTGTGTGTGTGTATATGTGTGTATATATATATATGTGTGTGTATATATATATAAAACAGTATTACAGGTAGTTCCAAATACACTTGCTTAGGAATTCAGAATTCCTATTATATACCTGTTGCTCAGAAGGAAAGAGAAGTGGGAGTGGACTCCTATCAAAGAAAAAGCACCTCGCAACAAGAACATATATTGGTTAAGTCATCCCAGAGAATTAAGGATTTTGCTCACATTGTACTAAGGGGCACTAGTACTCCTGTACTAATACACTCTGGTACTAACTGAGCCCCAAGAAGATTTCTTCTTGCTCGTGGTTGCAGGTTTCAGTGTATGTAGCAAACATGATCCTGGAAAATTCTTTGGATCATGAAAATAGCTATTAAGTAATGTTTCCCTAAAGGTTTGATTTCTTTAAGCTGTTAAATGAGTCAGCCCTACGGATTCTGCTGTAGGGAGATGTCAATAAATGCCGTCATTGATAAGACTAGAATAAGGAAAAATGGAGTAGAGTTAAATAAAACTGTTGTGAAAGTGCATTAAAGTGCAGTGTTGCTAGACTGCTGGAGAGTATGTTGATATCTTTTATTTATGAATTCTGCTAAATCCATTAGTTGCCTTTGTGAGAAATGG